ATAACAACCTAACTCCACATAGCAGGCTAGTGTTCCAACTCCAGACAGCAATCTTGCAACCCAGTTCCTAGTAGTCGTACTAGTTTGTTTCCCAGCTCTCAACGGCCTCGCAGCAACCATCACCATAACTCGTAATGCCACAAAGCCTCAACGATCGCAGACCACTAAACTCGGTTGGTTCCTCCAAGTTGTGCAATATAAGTTGGGCATCACCATGCACGACTAAAGGAATCTGACTAGGCATATCCCAAACAAGAAACGCATTGAAGATGACCATTGGTAACTCCCCGCTAAGAAGATGGGACACACCATCCCATCCTGACGAACATAGCAGCCCCCTCTATGTATCAATCATCGGCAGAATAGGGCTTATATCTTGTAAGCACGGGTCGAAGGGGACTATCCCTGGACTTGGAACGCGCACAATCAACACCACTTTCACTCCTAAAGTAAGGAGAAAAAACAAAATAAGACACATCAAGGGTGAGGGCGATGTGATCTAAATCCAAACGGATAATCACACCCCAATAGCTAGTCCCAGATCTAGGCCCACACTTGTATAAAACTATAGTCCACCAAATAGAGAGGCGGACCCCACAAGAATAATCTAGATGTTCTTTAATATTCAAGCTTAAATTTTCCCAGTAAGAGGTTGTGTACATTTACTAAGTGATAATAAGGACTCATCATCCACATCACTTGAGAGAAATCGATACAAAGATGTAACCAAAGGCTTCAAAGGATCATAACCTTTACGCACAAAATACCTAGGTCCCAAAAGCCTCGAGGTGACGATTTCGGCTTGACTTAGATAATTAGGCCCGGAGTCCAACCCTCCCCGGCCGAAGGCTTAGAACGAAGTCTTATTGGGTAACTAGAATACCCTAGAAAAACAAACCAGTTAAGGTTCGTAAGATGAGACCAGCCAAATTCTCAGCCCAAAAACACATTCTAAGGACTCGAAGGAAGAACGAGCCCCAAACTCGTAAGTCTAAATTCCTAGGACAAAGCCAAAGAACTTTGGATGAGTACAGAAAAACTCTCACCCAGCAAAAGAGAAAATTCTTCAAATCTTAATGCCCAACCAAGCAAGAAGAAGACGCTACAAAACAATTCTGAAGACCAACATCAGGACATCCAGGACCAAAGCAAGCAAGAAAACATAAGGCAAGAAACAGCCGCAACACCATGACCCTCGTGGGCAAACAGATTAGCTCAACAAAATACGCTCTTAGAATAATCATAGCAGCTCAACACACTCGATTTTTCAAAAAAAAAAGGAGAAGAATAAGAGGGGGGAAAGAGCAATATGCTACTTCTGCTACCCCACAAAGAGTTTTGAAGCAATCACGACGGAAAATACGAATCAATCCATGATCTTACGAAAGCATACTAACCACTCCAGCAACACGACACTGAGAGGGCGCCGACAGCAAGCTTGTGGAGAAAAGATTAGTTCGCAAAACCTTCATAGGAGACTCGAGAAATGTACGTTGTTGAACAGTCACTCCAAGTTCCCCATCGGGCATAGAAACATAACCCGCTACACTACGCTAGGTGCGGACCTCATCCATTTCACCGGGTCACGCACGTTTCCCTCAATGGTGTTTCTTCAAAAAACTTTCGAATGTGACTTGGAAGCAAGAATCATGGATCGAGTATGTTATATTTTCTTTACAAATCCCGGAACTTAGCACAACCATCGCACCAAATAACAGCCCCAAAGGCCATACAGCGAGGTCACGCTCCTTAGCTACCTTAGCCTAACATCTTATCGACAACATCATTAGCAACCTAACTTTGCATCACAGTACCATCAACAGCTAGGTTACATCACATTGATCAGATCACACTCCCAATAAAGAAAAGAGTATCAAGCTAGCCAGCATCACATAAGCCCATCACGCGACACTATGCCTCTTGTGGTCAATGTTCAAGTAGTCTTTCTATTTCTTTAATTGTTTCTCTAACCGTATCCATTCCAATGTCATTGGATGCTCACCAATCACATCGGACTGAGGGGACTTGTTGACGTATGGTACATTAGCATGACCTAAACGACAATATTTTACCCGCCAGCTTGTCCGACACCCACCTGGCCCTCATCTGTCAGCTTTGTCTAGCACCCGCATGTCGGCCTCGCTCGGCGCGGGCGCTCGCCAGGTGACACCAAGAGGCCTTACCAGTTGGGCCTGAACTGGATGGGCCCAAGGTCTGACCTAATTTCCCTTTGACCTAATTCCAAGAGGAAAAGACATAACTACCCTTCTGACCTAATGGTCCTCTATATATAGAACATGTCCTCCACCTTTTGGAGGCATCTTCTCTCTAATAGAAAAAACCCTAGAGGATTCCTCTTTTCTCTCTCAACCTTGACATAGCCACCATGGCAAAACATATAACCCACACACAATAGTGGTTCTCTTCGACTAGGTGAAACCCCTTCATCATCCTCACCGATCTTACTTGATCATCCGAGCTTGCTTCCAAGACATTGGCCCCAGAGCAACTCTAACGATCTATTATGGTTCTTGCAAGGGTACCAAGTCGGGAATACACAGATGGCATCGGACCCAGATCCAAGACTCAATACCTGAAAACCGGGCGAGATGTCACAATATTTATAAACGTTGCTTATCGATGTGGAGTTTAACTGCCTGTTTACATAGACCATTTTGGTACTACTTTGCACGTAACTAAGGAAAATGAAATTGATGATAATTGTTTTGTTATGTCAAACATGTCAATCAAAAAGGAATATGGTATTGACCTAACTGAGTTTATGAGTCAACGGTAAAGCAATATGGAAGGAGTAACCTATGAAGGAGTAAGTCAGGCAAATGGACATGAGGATGTCACAAAAGGTGAAAATCCAAAAGATGATGAAGATGACAATGTCCCGGATGTGAAAGGCAAGCCAATGTTTAATGAAGACATACCTTGGAAGAAGCAGTTGTCAATTATAGGTATGAGGTTCACCAACCCTCAACAATTGAAATTCTTGCTTTATAATTATGTTGTAGCGAATGGGTATCAACTCTACTATGAAAAAGATGACATTAAAAGGTTATTGGTTAGGTTTTGTGATGGTGAATGTACATTTAGGCTCTGAGCTTCATGGATGAGTGAGGAGCACTCATTCCAAATCAAGTCCCTTATCAATAAGCATAATTGTACCATGAATTTTAAGTTAGGTTTAATTGTTATTTATAGATGGATTGATAGTCATTTCACCAAGGAAGTTCTTGAGAATGAGAAACTCAATGTTAGGATGCTAAAAGAGGAAGTAACGACTAAATTTGGCATAGAGGTTAGTGTGGGACAGTATAGGAGATCTAAGCAACAGGCAGTGTCTCTTGTTGAAAGTACCATAGTGGAAAATTATGCAAAGTTGTGGTCCTGTGGTGAGGATATAAGATGGTCTAATCTAGGGTCAACAGTCAAGTTGTCTATGAACTGTATGCCAGATGGGAAAACTTACTTTAGCAGGATAGACAAAAACAAACAACCTTCAACAACCCCAAGAACGCTAAAATCTCCATCATGCTACCTACCGACATAACTACACCCACCAAAATCCCCACGCGTAGCATTTGACGCAACCATAAACCCCAATCATCTACACCACTGCAACTCCAACAGCAGTCATCACAGTCACGATCTTTTTTAAGTAACGTATTTCCTCCCTAAAGTAGCGTAGCTGTTGTCGCATGTCATCTCTCATTTACTCAATTTGCATTTGTTTTGCCATGGCGTGAAGCTCGCAGTCAGTTGGCATGTCTAGGTCCAATTCTTTGAAACCACTGTAGGAGAAGTTTTGTTCTAAGACCATCTTCTTGATTTATAGTAGCAAAAAGGGGAAAAGATTGAAATCGGCTTAATACAGTAAAGGATACGATTAGGGTAACAAAGTGGGTGGGGAACACTCATTTAGGGTACCCTTCAATTTTAAATAAAAAATAAAAAAAAGGGGGGGGGGGGGGGGGGGGGAGGGCACGTCACCAAAATATCCTTTAAACATTTTATAATCGGTAAAATGACGTTATTAAACAATCATATGAGAGTAAGTTCTCTTAATGTAACAAAAAAAAAAGATTGATGACTTTTTAAAACAAACGTGACAAGTTTGATGGGCTATTATGATATTTTTCTTATTATAAACTACAATCAATATGATAAAATAATAAGAAATATAGCAAAGCCCACAATGAGTGTTTAAAGCAAACTCATCAATGATAAGAACCTCGACTACATATCATTCATTAATGTGGTGGATTGAACCTTAGACTAGCGTCAATCAAACAAAAATTAAAACCTTTTTATCATATACTCATATTTAAAGCAATGTGAGACATAGACTTGAATTTATGTTTAGTACAAGCAAAATTAATAAGCAAATAAGAATTATGATAACTCAGTCAATATGTTTTTTTAACGAGTTAGTATATGATATTAAACTCATGATCTCCTTGTTAGGCCGTCCGTTATACATTTAACGAGCCACGAACCACAATCACTATCACGAACAATGAATGAGTGTTGGTGTGCATAAGACGACCACGAACGAAAATCAAAAGAGGAAAGCAGAGAGACGCCTGAGAGAGAAGAAGGGGATTGGTTATGGTCCTTAGTCCTCCCCACCACAAATCACCACGACCACGAAGGTCCGGACTGGTGTGCACGGACAACGCTCGTGGCCACGTAGACCACGAGCCCCTTCGTCTTTGGTATATCGGAAGGCCTTAGAAAAGTTTTGTTAAACATCGTTTTAGTCAAATGGACTAGCCTCAATTTTAAAGTGATTAAAAGGTTATTGGACCAGTATATAATTTTGGACTTAAAACTCTGCTAACACAGATAATTTCGTTTTTATTTTCATGTTGTATGTTTCTAAACCACACAACTTTACTAACCGAAGGCGACCTCACACCCAACAGCACAATTATAAAACCATGGAACATACGCACAACACAAAAAATCGAGGATTTAAAAACTCTAATTCAAATCTCCTCATTATTGTCAACATGAAACCTACTATGCACCCCAATCACCGTCCAAATGAGTCTAATAGTCCTCCAAGCCTTAGCCATGGACCACCATATCAGACCCCACTTCCAAATCCCTATCAGAAATATGATCGTTTTCGTCCTGTTCACCACCTCCATCGCCCTCGCACTCTTCGACCATTTCTTAATTTCCACATGGCAAAACCTCATTGGTCGGTCCCCAACACCTCTACAACAAATAGGGCTAGGTCAGGTTCTCACCATATCAAGCATGGTCATTTCAGCAGTGTTCGAGTCAAGACGACTCAATACAACTCAAACCCATGGGCTTAGCGGCAACGTGGTTGCACTTATGGTGGTGATGTGGCTCATGTCACAGTTGGTGGTGGTGGTGGTTGTGGAAGAGGTGTTTCATTTTCCAGGACAAGTGTCATACCATCAAGAGTTTCCAAAGTTGCTTAAGAGCACAACGCAACACGCCAACAATTGTGACAGTTTTTATTGGGGTGGCATTTTGTTTGTGCATAGTTGTCCAAGTACCAAAATACTAGATTTACATTTCACAAGATTTACATCTCTCACATGATGTTATACATGACAGGAATAATTTGTAATTTTGGTTCACCCATAAAACTCTATCCGTTGACTTTGTTATATAACTATTTTCTTGAGTGTAAAATACCAAAAAAAAAATCATTGGACTTTTAATCTTTTATCATCTTACTGCTTTAGCTTGTTAACTAGTTTCTGTAGTTGTTAAACAAAACATCATACTAGTTTGACTCTTTAAAAAGTTAAATTCATCATTTTATCAATTTAGTCATTAAACTATAATTTTTTACGATTATTATACCAACAGTTTCTTAACTAAATCAATAGTTCAGTGATAATGGTAAAACTATGTTGTATTTTGGAAGAAACGAGTTTTTTATATTTCGGGAAAGAGTATTTACTGATGCATTTATACGAGGAAAGGAAAAGATAGATTAAAATTTTATTATTAAAAAAAAAAAAAAAAAAAAAATCAAACTCAAAACAAACTATGAATCTAATAAATGAGGATTCGAGGGCATTGCATTTGTGTACTTTGTGCAGTCGTAAGGCCCAATCTGATTAGCTTTATTTTTCACCTGAAAATCCATTTAAAAAAGAAGACATTTATTGCTAGGTTTATATATAAATAAATTTATTATATATTTATTTTATTTTTTTAAATAATAAAATTTAGGATTATGGAGTCATACCGGAGACCATGGATTTCGTTCAGGAATAGATTTGTCTGGAGGCGAATGCTGTACAGCCCCACACTTCATGGTAAGGATTTCCTGTATAAATTATGCATATCATTTTTATTTTTATAAAATATAAACATACTGTTATAATTTATAACCATTTACACAAGTTATAAAATCATCTACAATGTTAAATTTATCATGTATTATTTATTCATCAGGATATCAAAGAGAAACATTTCCAGTCTTTCTCTTTATAAAAAGAACATGATTAAAAAGAAAGGAAACAAGTTATTATTTCTAAAAGTTTGTGTTTGTATTAACTTATTAAATCTGTGAAGTGAAAATATGTTTGGTTTAAACTTTAAATTATAAGCTTCTTAGATATTATGTTTATCTTAAATTATCAATGATATTGTGATTACATATTATATACAGTTTTGTTAGGATTAAAATATCATTTTTCATTTGAAGAAATTCAATTTTTTTAGTTTTGTAATTTACAATTTCAGTCTATAACAGTTCTCAGAAGAAAACAGTCAATTATTATATTTGGCATTGGTTCTAGACAAAAGGGTAAAATGGTCATTTACCTCTCCAGCAGCTTCAATAGCTGCTAACCATTCATCAGAGAAGGGTACAGCATCTATGACTAAAGACTTATTATCTTGCCTCTTGATGTTATTTGACTTCTTCCTGAAAACCACAAACCAATAATCAAATTCAAAAATCAAAAATTTAAAAAGTAAATAAATCTAAAAGTTGCTCAAAGAAACTTACATCAACACTGTTGCTTCTTTGTTATTTTCTTCTTGAACAACATTTGGAATCACATTTTTTTCTAGAGAAATATGATCATTAACCTCACTTGCAATTTCAAAAGGTCCCTCTTGTAGACTTGAGCTTTCTGCAGGCATAACGAAATTACCAGAATGCCCTTCAGTATTCAGTAATGCAGAAATGCAAGAAGTTGTGGCTCCAACGTCATCTTCTGTTTTTCCAATTTCGCCCCTCTGGGACTCCACGGGATTAACCTTACAAGCATTAGATTTTTTGGTATCAGATTGTTCCCTTTTTAATGTTTGAGCAAGATCCTGCATAAGTAAATAGTGCATTAATTAATGTGGATATATAAGGTTGTTTCATTTTTACAATATTACCCTTGTTTATTTTTAAAAGTTTTAATACAACCTCCCACAAATGAGGGTAAAAGTTTTACATATGTAATTGATTTTATTATATATATTAAAAAAAAAAAAAAAAAAAAAAATTAGTTTCTCACCATGTTTTAGTTAGGTACAATTAGATTTAAAAAAATTGCAATAATATCAGATAAACAACTATTTATGATTTTATTATGATGGTTTTGAAATATACATTCGTTTGTTCTTAACAAAAGGGTAAAATAGTCATTTATTTGTATTCAGAAAGTTCATTCAGACTAAAAAAAAGAAACAGATTTTGTGTATTCAACACCTATTCCATACAGAAATCATTTATCTATTCATACTAAAAAAGTTCATTCAGACTAAAAAAGAAACAGATTAGTTTAAGTTATTTATCATGCTGTGATTAAATAGAATTCCATTTTTATCATTATTTATATCAGTTACAAATTATTCAAGTATTTCAATTTTGTTTATCTTTGTCATTTACAACTTACAATTTAAATTTATATTAGTATATAATTATATTTATATTACCTCTTGATGTATGACCAAAGACTTATCTTGCTTCTTGATGTTATTTGACTTCTTCCTGACAACAACAAACCAAGAATCAAATTCAAAAACTGAAAAAAATAATAATAATAAATAAATCTACAAGTTGCTCAAACATACTTACATCAACACTGTTGCTTCTTTGTTATTTTCTTTTGGATTTGCATTTTTGTCTTGAGAAATATGATCATTAACCTCGGTTGTGTGTAAACCTGAGCTTTCTTCAGGCCTAACGAAATTACCAGAATGCCCTTCATGGAACTGAGAATTCATCAAAGCAGAAATGCAAGGAGTTGTGGCTCCAACGTCATCTTCTTTTTTTCCAATTTTGCCCCTCTGGGACTCCACATGATTAACCTTACAAGAATTTGATTTTTTGGTATCAGATTGTTCCCTTTTTGATGTTTGAACAAGATCCTGCATAAGTAAATAGTGCATTAATTATCATTTGAAGTAAGGTGTTGTTTCTTTTAAGAGTAAATTACACAAATGGTCCCTATGGTTTGGGGTAATTTGCGCATTTGATCCCTAACTTATTTTTCTAACTTGGGAGGTCCCTACTATTTGTTTTTGTTGCACGTTTGGTCCCTATCTTACATAAAAAAGACTATTTTGCCCTTTGATTTTTTAATTTATTCAAATAAAATAGGGTAAGTAAGGTAAAGTAAGATGAGGTGGAAGTGGGATTGGGATTGGGGTGTGTTTATTTAAATAAATTAAAAAATTAAGGGCAAAATAGTCTTTTTATGTAAGACAGGGACCAAGCGTGCAACAAATACAAACAGTAGGGACCTTCCGAGTTAAAAAAATAAGTTAGGGACCAAACTTGCAAATTACCACAAGCCATAGGGACCATTCATGTAATTTTCTCTTTATTTAAATAAATTAAAAAACCAATGGCAAAATAGTCTTTTTGGGTAAGATAGGGACCAAGCGCGTAATAAAAACAAACAGTTATGAGTTTTAAAAAAAAAAACAAAAAACAAAAAAAAAAAGTTAGGGACCAAACGCACAAATTACCCTAAACCATAAGGACCATTCTTGTAATTTACTCTTCCTTTAAACTTAAAATCATGTGTTTTACTCTTTTTGGTGAAGGTATATTAATTACCTCATCACAAGCTTCAATAGCATTTATTGGATGCTTGATAGAAGAGTTATCTTGCCACTTGATGTTATATGACCTTTTCCTAACAAATAACAACAAATCAAGATTCAAGTTTTAACATTTTTTCCCCTAAATTAGGGATTGAGTTTTCAAGATTATAAAGTATAAACAAGTCAAAAACTGGGTTTAAAGCTACTTACTTCAACATTGTTGGACTCTTTGTTTCTTGAAGCACTTTCACTTTAGCTTCAAATTCTTCCCCAAAGCTTATCTTTGACACCTCAGCTTCTACACTATGTGTAGTTGTTAACATGCTCTCAATAATTATCCCCATTTCTTGATGCCTTTGATTTTCATTATTGTTTTTAAATTCATCTTCAATTGGTATTATATCCAAACTCTGTGGATAAGTACTTGAATAAGTTGAGCCACTTTGTTCTACCAAAAGATGATCATTAATCTTAGTTGCAATTTCACATGGGCCCACTTCAACCATAGTCAAAAGTTTTTGTTCTTGATGTTGAATGGATTGTTCAGATGTAGACACTGAAGTGGAGATATGATCATCTTTTGTTTCAAGAACAAAAGGAACTCTTTCATCATTTTCAGACAATTGAATGTTGGCATTCTTGCCTTCTCTGTTCTCCTCATTACCCTTCAATGCAATTTTCTCAATTCCCATTTTGCCCTTGTGTTCAAGGATTCTTTTCTCTTGCTCAATGACCTTATGTGACTCAACATCAGAAGCACTAATACACTCGTATTGCATTTTTCTCACTATATCTTGATATACATTTGAATTTAAGACTCCTTTGTTCACCATGTAATTGGATGATGGACTACCACAAGGGGTAGTATGAGAATTTAATACAGAACATTGTCCATTCTGTGTTTTTGGTGTAGCTGTTGTCTGAAACACACATAAGGGAAACAAATGATTTTAAGGTTGTGTTTGGTGAGTCACAGTTAGCTGATAAGCTAGCTTATTTTTAGAGTTTTTTTATGTTGTCATGTTTGGTAAGCCAAAAAGTAGCTTATAAAAAACTACTTAGACTAGCTTTTTTAAAATTTTCCAAATATACCCTTCTTTTAAATGCCTTTTTATGTCTTTTTATATCTTTCATCTAGTTTTTCAGTTAGTTTTACCAAACGCCATTTTTTATCAGCTAGATTTTCAGCTATCAGCTAGTTTTATATTTAACAACTAACTTTTCAGCTATCAGCTAGTTTTTCAGCTAAAAAGCTACTTAGACTAGCTTTTTAGAAGCTTTTTTAAAAAATTTCAAGTATACCCTTTAATTAATTATAGAAACACATTCTTTTAAATGCCTTTTTATATCTTTCATCTAGCTTTTCAGCTAGTTTTACCAAACGCCATTTTTTATTAGCTAGATTTTCAGTTCAGTTCATAGATAGTTTTTTATTTAACAACTAACTTTTCAGTTATCAATTAGTTTTTCAACTAACAGCTAGCTTTTCAGCTAGTACACCAAACATAGCCTAAATAAATGACTTATGGATATTTTTACATCTTCATAATCGAAATATAAATAAAAAAAGCAAAATTACCTGATCAAAGAATCGGAGTGAAGGTGAAGGCAATCTTAGTCCTGAAGGCAATGAGTTGTTCTGTAGCAATTTAAAGTCCAGATTACTTCATTTCAAGAATTTTATAAATAGCATTAAGAAGTAAGAACTAGAAATTTGATAATTAATACTAAAACATTGGAAAAGCTAGAACCTTTACTGAAGTTGTTGGAGTATATTGAGGTAGAGTTTTAGCTGGAAGAGGGGTAGATTCGTCATGAATTTCACATGAATGCAATCTATCTGGAACCATTTCTAACCCACTATGAGCTTTGTCAACATGTACAAACTGTGATTTGGTTGAAGAAGTTGCTTTAGAAGATGAGTGTGTCTACACAAATTAAAAGGATCATGTTACAACACTTAGTTACTTACAGATTCAAACTTCAATGGAGTCATACTTCCAAAATATTTTACTTTTATATTGTTACTTCTGAAAGGATAAAGGTCAAAATAGCCCTTAATTTCTTACCGATTTTACAGTCTTTTGAGCTAGCTCTTTAGAATGGGGGTTGTCTAATCCTGTTTTTGCTTTAAAGTCTTTTAAAGAGCTTTTCAACCCAACATTCTTCTGAGAATTTACAGCTGCAGGAAGAAAAAGAGAAAAGAAAAACAAATTCAGACACCATATATAGAAATGTGCTCCAGAATTCATTAACACTTACGTGGTTTAGGAATCAGATTATGCCTCAATTGGCTTGTTGTTGTTATAGAACCCTTTGTAGAAGAGCAAGATCCGAGTTTTGACATGGGTAGTTTAGGAAGCTTGGAATCCTTTTTTGTTGTTCTCAAAATGTTTGAATTTGGCCTTTTCAAAGTACAAGGAGTTAAGGCTCACAACCAAGAATAGGTCAAATGTATCCCAAAGGTCAAAGTCAAAGGTCAAACCAATTTAATTTGTTATTGAAAGTGAAAGTCTTATCTTGCTGAAACACAAAAAGGATATGATGATACAGGTGAAGGGGCTGAACAGACACCAATCTTGGACCTTGTTCTATTTGAATTTGAATGATCAGTTAAGAGAACTTTGTGTGTAATCTGCAAACATCATATTTTGAAAATGAGAAACAACTCATTTAGGCCTAGATACAAACAGAGGATAATAGTTTTAAGAAAAGACTCCCAACATACTTTATGATGAGGTAAAGAATCATGATTTCCCACTCTGTTTCCCTTTGATGTGTGACTCTTGTTATGTAACTCTTTAAGTAGAGCTTCTTTAGAGGCCTCCATATCATTGGGTTCATTTCTATATCTGCTACCTGAAGAAAATGAGCTATTTCCCTCTTCACTTATAGTAGGCAATCCCCTTCCACATGTGTAAGCATTGATACCAGTAATCATATTCAATTCACGTGGATCGAGAATGCCTATGAAATGAAGAAAGTGTTTATTACTCATTTACTCATATCATTCATCAAAAGCATAAGAATGAGGAATCCAAAAACATAATCTAGTTTTGAAATTTAATACTAAAAAAGGGAAATTGGACAACCTTCATCAGTAAAGAAAGCTCTATCCCATGCTAAGCTTTTCCGTAAATTGCATTCTGCTCCCTTCTTTCTCCTCTTCATTTGGATAGGTCCCATACCTAATTTTGGCATTTCTAAATTGTTTGAGTTTATATTCTCTTTATTGTTGCTAGATTCAGAAGATGAAGTGGTAGGTTTCTCTGTATGAACACCATCTTTCAAACTTTCTGCACATATGAACATCATTATTTAACTGTCGTTTTGTGTCCACGACCAGATTAAAAGAAAAAAACTTAGCCGACAAGTATAGTTGTGAGTAACTGACAACATGGTATTACTTATTTTAAAGAACAAATTGTATCGAAAAAGAATTTCAGTAATAACACTAAGCATAACAGCTGGGAATTCTGGAATGCCCAAATCATCGATTTAACTTGCATATCGTAAAACAGGATCAGGATCAGACCAAACTTAACTAACCAAACAAACCCAATGACTTAAACCCCATAAACGAACCTGGAAGGGGAAAATGTCAACCGAAAGGGAGTCGTATTTGAGACAATGTAAAGCATCATTAAACATCATTTCAAGCAATGTAGCTGAAATTTTACTTCTATTGCACAAAATTATAAAAATCTGGTAGATACTTACTGGTGCGTGAAGGTGGAAGTGCGAGAGGCGAGCAATTAAAGTAATTGAATGATGATTTCGAAGGTGTTTGCTTGGGATCTGGAAACGGTTCGATAAGAGAATCGTCTTCTTCAGTCAGTTCCATCAATGGAAGATCCGATTCCATGATTCGGAGCCCTAAATGTGTGTTTGGGTGAGTGTGATTAAAAGCTATTTTCAAAACATTATGCAAGCGCGAAAGCGAGAGAGATGTTCAGATCGGGCATTGGGGTAACGAGTTGGCTTATTACTAGCAAGTAGCACCTGCGTGCGTAAACAATTTAAAATATTCCTGTTGACTATTATTAAATTAAATAAATTGCTTATATAATTACTGCTTTAATCCAAAAGTTAATAACAATGTCAAAAATAATAGTATATTTTTTAGGGGTGAGCAAACCCGAACCAAGAAACCGAGAAACCGATAAAAACCGACGAAACCGAAACCGAATCAAAACCGACGGTGTGGGTTTTAAATTTGTAAAAACCGACTTTCCGGGTTCGGTTTCGGTTCTGAGCTTGTCATTAATAGCAATGTAATAGTCTAAGTTAACATTTGTAACCCATTTTAAAATAATAAGAATGTATTATTTGAATATTATGTGTTTTATGCTTAATTGCTTAATTGTGTGGCTTAAATAAATTAAGAATAAAAATATGAGTTAAAATGAAATATTAGATAAGCCTGATATCGATACATGAAGACGTAGTGGTCGTGACGAGGTTTCCGGATATATAAAGAAATGCTGAAATCCGAGTTATAACGAAAAAGTTATGACCTGTCGAAGTTTTGCGACAGAACCGGTACGGCACAACGCAACGTAAATAGTGAATTTACGATAGAGTGATATCTAGCCTTAGAGATTTAAACAAAAGTCGTAGAATATGTTAAACCGAGAGTGTGCATGAAAAGAACGTCTAAATCTAACTTAGTATGAGGAAGTTATGATTTTCCGAAGTTTCGATTTAGCAGTATGCAGCCCGAAACTCGAATTTGAGATCGAGTGATTTCTAGCCAAAATTTTCTAAATGAGAATCGAAGATCTCATCGATAGTAGTCCAACGGTAAAAAGACAGATGAAACGGACGTCAGATGAAGAATATATATTTTCTAACGAAGTTTTCCTATCCTGACCTACTAAAATAATATAATAAAAGTTAAAGTCAAAATTAGCCGACGGAGTCTAAACAAGAGTTGTAGAGCATAATCTCACCTACACGTGGATATAAAGAACATCAAAAACGGAGCTTGTATGCGAAATATATGAATTTCTGAAGTTCGGAACACAAAAATCGAGGTTGTGTCAGAACTCACGACGTGAGCACAGTGGGCACAACGTGAGCACAGACCTGATGCCTTCCAGAGCAAGTGGACGAGTGACGCATGCAGTGACCTACAGAGGTCACGATGTGAGCATTAGAAACTCACGACATGAGTGCAGAAATCTCACCCTATAAATATAAATGAAGGGTCAGCCGATTTTGGTTGCTCCTTCCTTACTCTCCCCCTCCGTATTACATCGTTTTGCGTGCAACTCATACCTCAAAGCCCCGGTATCATTCCCGTGACCTGAAGCGAGTCCGAAGCCCAAAGATCCCGAGAAGAAAAGAGTTTTCGAGCCGAAACTCTAGCTGCGAGAAGCCCGTTGTGTGAAGATCTTCCAGATTTACCGAAGAATACTACTCTTAGAGTCGTAGTTATGTCTGATCATCTTTCTGATCAAGTGAGTGTATATTCTCTTTCTTCTAACACATAGATATAAAGTATTTACATTAGAATATGTGTTACGTGTGTATAAATATACGTGTATATATATTATATGTTTATCTAGAATGAGTATTGAATGAGTATCTTATCAGTTTTTAAGTTGCATATGTATGTGGTTATCTACAAAAATGTTGGGTAGAACTTGGGTAGATAGTTGATGTGTGATAAACTGATGAGAGGCTTCGATGTGATTGTGATCTAGTTGTCCAGCAGAATATCGATGACGACCACGGACTTTTCTAGATAGTTTAGTGGAACGCCGGTAGACTCATAACCTGTAGGTGTAGTGAACTTGGGTGTTCATTTGTTGTATTCTATCCCCCTCATGGTTGCCTTTAGGATATTTATTGTTGAGGAAGCCCTTTGTAGTAATGTTCGTCCCGATGAAAATTCCTAGACTAGGTTCCTTGTGATAGTTATTGTTTTAGGGACGTAAAGTGAGGATAACGGGATTGGGTAATCGGGTTATTGTTGGTTGGTGTCACACCCCAAAACCACGAACGGCAGAAACGTTCAGGGGTGGAGGACGTCATGTACAGTATCACAAACAGTGTAAAATAGTAAACAAGCAACAACATCATCCATTGCATTATAAGTAAAGTTTTAATACATGTGTGTTCTTTCGTTGTAATAAGACACCAAAAATATATAATCAAAATAAAAGACGAGTCTTGTATGCTCCGTCTTCTCAATACCTGGCCACCGTACCTGTCTACTGATGACCTGAGAATACAAGTTATTTTGAAAGAGAGTATCAGCTTTAAAGCTGGTGAATTCATAAGTATTTAAGTGTCATTGACTTGCTTTGAAAAGCTGTTTTAAAAGTCATGTAAACCTTTAAATGAAAATGTTGATATAAGTATGAAAAGCCCTAGAAAATCCCTTATTTTCTATTATTATGAAATGTAGTCTTCAACCCAGGCCCGAATATTTTGTAAGTAAAATGATAGTTTTTCCTTCTATTAACTAGTACTAAAGTACTTAGTCTAACTCATCGTTTATGTGAAAGTATCACAAAATAAAGTAAACAGGAAAATGTACTAATGTAAGTGTTGTCACTGGGTACTAGGAGTAACCCAACATCGCAATAAGCGAAAAGTATAATCTAATGAACATCCGAAGATTGTCCACTTCTCCTCTGTAGCAGCAGCAGATGGGTGGAAGGGTTAGTCCCGATATCGATCTACCTAATATAAATAGTAACGTAATGATCATCCGAAGATTTTCATCTCATCCTCTGTTGCAACAGCAGGATGGAGGAATGGTTAGTTCCGATATCGATCTACCTAGTATATGTAGTAACCTAAGACCTCCGTAGATGGTCATCGACCACTGGTGCTAATCAGTGGGATTCGGAATAGTTAGTCCCACCTATATATCCCATTGAACCGGGATAGAAAAGATAATTTACACAGAAAGTACTAATAAATCATCTTCGCGAGTCAATATACGAGTATCCAGGTAAGTGAATACAGGATAATGCATCTATGTAACAGTGTTCATGTATGGTATTCATGTAAGTGTGTTCATGTATCAGGTAAGTATATGTAAACATGTTCATGTACCAAGTAAGCATATGTATATGTACTCATGTATTAGGTAATGTACTGGTGTAGACTCATGAATGAATTGACTCTTGTGTGATTCCTTGTAATAGGAATAATGTTTTATTTCTTTTAACTATCCCTATGATAATTAACTGAAAGGTAATTGGTTGTTCAAGAAGGTAAAGGTAATGGTTTTGCAAGATATCTAAGAGTTTTGAATAATAATTAAGAGTGACTTGATGTCATGTTAATAAACATTTCAAAACCAATACTTTTGTTATCAAGGTATTTTAAGATAGAAAACCATTTCATGCATCACATTTTGTAGTATGTGAAATCTGTTGGATGAAAACACAGTTATAAAATACATATTAGTGATTTAATAACATGTTGTTTTCTACTTGTATTCCCCCCCCCCCCCCCATTAAAGCATTTAAAAACATTTAAAACATTGATTAAGGGGTATGAAATCATATATAGATGGTGGTTTGAATGAACTGGACAGTGCAGGATTGTTAGGTGTCAAGTGAGGACTTGTACACACACTACGATCCTAATGAACATATAATCACACATATATGCACTCAATTAGACTTATATACTAATTGATAATGTTAAGACATCTAGAACATAATAAACACTTTATATAAGTGTTTTAAGCCCTAAGGATTGCATTTAAGCTATTGTGGGACAAGGTACTTGGGTTTAGGGTTCCAAAGGAACCTATACTTGAGTTTACTCTCCATATATCATCACACATGGAGTCCACGGTTGTAAACTCTTGAGTTTACGGCTGTGAACTCACAATCTTGGTGATATTTTGTGTTTTGAAGTCCCAAATGATCCCTAGAATTATTCCAACTTGGTGGTTAAATTCTTGGAAGGGTTTAAGGCATAAAAACATCCCTTTGAGGAGTTTACGGCTCTAAGGCCATTTCCCTTAGAGTTTGCAGTCGTAACTTTGGTCTTATTCACATGTAGTATAAGTCTCAAACTTTTATTCCAAGCATATCAAGGCCTTTGGCACACTTTGGTGCCTTTGTTTGATGTTCACGGCCCAAGAACCTTATTAGGCTCGTTAACTCACTTTGAGGGATGTTCTTGATGTGTTTAAGGCCCTTGATTAAATGGGAACAAGTCTATGTAAATGCCTAAGGCTTTAGGTGCCTTAAAAGAACCCTTTTGTGCATGATTTTGGAGTTCACGGTCCAAGATCCTCTTGGGCCGTGAACTCCAAAACATTGGTGATTCTTTGATGTTTTCTTGTCCCTAATACACTTCTATACAAGCCCAAAGTAGTATCATATCACGGGGACAGGTCTAGGCTTTGTTTCGGGAGTTTACTACCCAAGAACACCTTGGGGAGTAAACACCTAAATCTAGTGATTTTGCCATCTAAATCATGTTATAAACGCATATTAAGCTATCCAACACTACTAGCAAGAGGTACTCACATTTTGGGATAAAAACCTAAAGATCCGTGAGAGAGAAAATGGCTTTTCTCTAATTGGAAATGCGAATAATGAATGAATTTGGTTCAGAATTCTATTTATAGTCCTGAGATTTTTGGCAGAAAATATTTTATTCCCGAAATGATCTCTAATATAATAGAGTGTTGGAATAATAGTGTTGCACAAAACTCTAGTGCATCCACTCTCCTGATATTTCCTGAAGTGTAAACCCTAAATTACTCAAACTTATACGGAAAAGTCTGAAAGTTTACTGTGACTGATATAACTTCTATTGAAGTGTTATTGTTTATACATAATGGAAATTCCGGGTTGTCACATCATCCCCCCGTTAGAAGGAATTTCGTCCCGAAATTAGAATTTAAGAAAGTAAGAATTTACAATTAACTAAGCAAAAAGATGATGGTATTTCAGTTTCATTTGATCCTCTCGTTCCCAAGTGAATTCAGGGCCACGCTTTGCATGCCAGCGAAC